GTTTGGAATACAACAAACCCCAGACTGTTGGAGAACTCAAAGCTCAAGCAAAAAACAGTGGGCTGAGAGGTTATTCTCGAATGAGAAAAGCTGAATTGATTGCTTTACTGGATAATAGTAAATCAGTTGGCGATGTTGATGAAAATAATCAACCAGTTGTTGATAATAATGAGTTAAAATTTGTACCCACAGCCGGCATTGGTAAATATCTAAGAGGTTGGAAGATGGATATTAATTCCAACATGGATGTTAATGATGTTAAGCCCATCATATCGAGCAAAATTAACAAGGAATTAGATGATTTAAATAGTATAAAATACCAGCTGACGGTTAAAATGTCATTGAGTAAAAGTAACGCAGACGATAGCACTGAATATACCGAACCATATTTCCGAAGCAATCAAGAAGTTTTAACCGAATCCGATACTTTAAACGCATCATTAAATACATCAATTCAGAGGATACAGGAAAATTTAGAACATTGGACTATTAGAGGTTCGGGTTGGGGTGTGGATAAAATCGATAGTTTATATTTAGATATAGCAAATTATATGCCTTTCAAAGGTGGATCTTATATAGATTTCCCCCCGTATTATAAAAAGAAAAAAGCCATAATTAATGTAAAAAATAAATCCGATAACTGTTTCAGAATGATGATAAGATCTGCATTGTTCCCCGTAGACCAAATTGCAGATAGACCTTCGAGCTATCCCCAAAACGACGGACTCAACCTTGATGGTATAGACGAACCTACACCAATCTCCCAAATTGATAAGGCGGAAATACAAAATAATTTAGCTATAAATGTTTTCGGACATTCTTCTAAAGGAATTGCTATACACAGGATAAGCCTCGCTCCTGAACATATTTCCAGAATCAATTCATTTCTGATCGAAAAAGATGGAAAATATCATAAAGAGTTTAAACAGGCTATTATATGATCAAACAAAATATAAGGGAAAGAAATATTTGTGCGAAAGATGCCTGCATGGGTACAGCAGACAAGATCTATTAGAAGCGCATAAAGAAGACTGCAGAGGTGTTGGACAGACTGCTATCAGGATCGATATGCCTAAAGAGGGAAAAAATATACTAAAATTTGAACATTATTGTAATCAAATGCCAGTACCGTACATAATCTACGCTGACTTCGAAGCACTTATCAAACCTATAGAAAATACCGAACACAATAATCAAGATAGTTTTACATACAAAACTCAAGAAAAAGGTATGATGGGAAAACAAACCCGCCCGTGGTTTACAGAGGTCCCGATGCAGCGAGAAAGTTCCTAGAATATCTACAAAATGAAGAGAGAATAATCAGGGAAAATTTATCGCGTAAGAAACCCATGTGTATGACGAGGGATATCTGGAGGGTCTATAAGAAGTCAAAGAGTTGTCATGTTTGTAATAAACCCCTGAATGGGGATTCCATAAGAGATCATTGCCATGTCACAGGTAATTATCGGGGAGCCGCGCATAACGAGTGTAACTTGAAACTAAAAATGAATTCTCAAACAATACCAATCCCCGTTGTGTTTCACAACCTTAGAGGGTATGATTCACATCTCATCATGCAAGCTATCTCAAAGACCGACGGCGGGTTAACGTGTATTCCTTATAATATGGAAAAATACATATCATTCTCGTGGACTAAAACTATACATTATACGGACAAGGATGGGAAAGCCAGAAAAAAGCAAAGTAATGGGCTTAGATTCATAGACTCCGTACAGTTTCTGTTATCTTCCCTGGACAATTTAGCTAATGCGAACAATCCCGATGACTTTGTGATAACAAATCAATATACCGATTGGTTAACTCGTCATTTGTTGTTGAGAAAAGGTGTATATCCTTACGAATATATGGATGATTGGTCTAGATTCGACGAAACTAAATTACCACCTCTTGAATCATTCTATAGTAACTTAACAGATTCTAAAATAACTGATGCCGATTATGAACACGCTCTGACGGTCTGGGATAAATTAGGTTGTAAGAATTTAGGCGATTATCACGATCTGTACTTAAAAACCAATGTACTGTTACTCGCCAATATATTCGGGATATTTAGAAAGACATGTTTGAAACAATACGGCTTGGACCCGGCATGGTACTATTCCAGTCCAGGACTATCGTGGGATGCATTGTTAAAGAAGACCGGTGTAGAACTAAAACTACTCACCGATGACGATATGCACTTGTTTATTGAGAAAGGATTAAGAGGTGGTATATCGATGGCGGCTAAAAGGTATTCTAAGGCTAATAATAAATTAGTGTAAGGATATGATCCGAGTAAACCCGACACGCACATATTATATCTCGACGCCAACAATTTGTACGGATGGGCTATGAGTCAACCTTTACCCACGGGTGGTTTTGAGTGGGTCGATGATATCAAAGTGAATAATATCCCCTCAGATTCCGATAAAGGGTACATACTAGAAGTTGACTTGGAATATCCAAATTCTTTACATAAAGACCATAACAGTTATCCGCTAGCTCCCGAAAGATTAATGGTTATAAAGATTGGATGTCGGAATATCAACACTCCTTGATGGGTAATACTAGGTTAGCTAACGTAGAAAAACTCGTACCAAATTTGATGGATAAGACAAAATATATAGTTCACTACAGAAATCTCCAGTTATATCTATCATTAGGTATGTAACTAAATAAAATACTGAGAGTTCTAAAGTTTGATCAAAGACCTTGGATGGAGCCCTATATAAGACTGAACACAGATTTAAGAAAGATGGCTACCAGCGATTTCGAAAAAAATCTATATAAGCTCATGAATAACTCAGTATTTGGTATATAAACTATGGAGAATCTGAGGAAGCGTGTTGATGTAAAATTAGTCAGGTCTAATGAGCAAGAAAGACTCAGGAAACTTATAGCCAGTCCGGCTTTTAACAGAAGCAAGATATTTGATAATGACTTAGCCGCGTTGCATATGAAGAAGAGTAATATAAAATTCAACGTTGGTATGAGTATTCTCGACTTGTCAAAACACTTAATGTATGACTTTTATTACAACAAACTTAAGAAGCAATACGGTGATAGATGCGAGGTGTTATATACCGACACAGATTATTTGTTGATGGAAATCCAAACCGAGGAGGTATATAAAGATATGTCAGAAAAAATAGATATGTATGACACGAGCGATTACCCAAAAGATAATCCACTGCACAGCGTAGTAAATAAAAAGGTGTTAGGTAAGATGAAGGATGAATGTGCTGGGACCCCTATAGGGGAGTATGTTTGATTAAGACCTAAGATGTATTCTATAAAGAAGTCCGATAATGGAGAGATAAGAAAAGCTAAAGGCGTTAAGAAGAATGTGGTAAAAAAGCATATCAAACACGAACAGTATAAAGAAGCATTATTCAACGGTAGAACGTTCAAACACCAGATGAACTCTTTAAGAAGTTACAATCATAGGATATATGGATTAGGAATGAACAAGACATCATTATCCCCCTTAGATACAAAGAGATGGATTGATAAGGATGGTGTAACTACCTATGCTTATGGTTATGGTGGTAATACTGTATTGTTGGGAACTATGAGCAACTCTTCTCGTACAAATGCCCTGCCCGGTCCATCTTTAGGATAATAAAGAATAGTCTCTCCTTCTTTCATAACCAATCGACTAATGTTATATATATTAAGGAACCAAATCGGATCGGTTGCGCAACGTAGGCCTCCTTCGAGTTCACAGGGCTGGTATAAATATCTTACGCTTACTCTATCCGGAAGTTTTTGTTCTTTGCCTCTCCTCGGTGCTGAAGATTTGGAAGTCACAGATTTCATCTTAATCGCATTGGATGGTTTCTTCCTGATTAATCTCGTTACTTCATTATTCGGCGCTGATACAACAGCTGATAAACGTGTCACCCATTCGCTTGATCTTAATCGATCTGATTTCATTTCGATCCCATACTGATAGCCAAACAAACGTTCCGCTAATGTCCGGTTAAATCTTTCAATGATAGCTTGACTACGGTGGGCCCCTTTTCACCACGCCTGATTTCGACATCGTGCTTTGTTAACAGTTTAGTTACTGATTCCATAAACTCGCGACCTGGATCTACTTGAAATAGCTTAGGCCATTTTAGTTGTCCGCGTTTATATATACGGGTCAGTGCATTAGCTACTTCTGTTGAATCTTTCGAGGTTAATGGCTCAGCCTCTTTGTATCGACTAGCCACATCCACTACGGTTAAAGCGTATTTATGCATTTTACCTTATCATGGGGAAGAAACAAGAGGTCAGCCTGATGAACTTCATTCGTTGTAAAAATATCAAACTTCTTCCTCGGTATATAACGTGGTGCCAGTAAGTATATTTGCCACATCGCTTGTTTCTTTAACCAATCCTTGGCTACATCTTTAGATACCTTAGCCACAGTGGCTAATTTTTTTATTGCTCCTATACCTTTCCAATATCCTTGTGGGCTAAAGTAAATTTTATCCATTATTAATTAATATTGATGTTTCTTTTAATACGAATCATTACGATCATTGAATCGCATCAGCATTTACACATAAAAAAATTCCCCTGTAGTAGCAGTATAGGTATATAATTCTGGCTCCAGTGGAAGTGAGCCAGAACCCCTATTACCTATACTACTATTTTCACTAAAATGTCAGTTGATTTTCTGGGGACAATTTTACAAGGGGCTGGGGCTATATTGCATTTTCAATAATGTCGGCATAGGCTATGGCAGTCAAAATGTGTTTCAAGAAGAAAAACAAAATTAAACAATATCTTAAACAGTTAGATTTTATAATGGTGCAGTCAGCAATATTCCACCTTATCATGCCAGACTGTAAATAATTGAGTAGGGAATGTAGTTTGCGAATTGAGGTGTGATCACAAATGAAAAACATAGGGCTGCAGTAGTCATGATGCTAATCCCTATATGCATTTACCAATATGTCATCTCGACAACAACATCTCACCATTGGAGAGCTAATAATTAAATAAACATATTTCAGAAATACCCAAATTTTATTCTTCAACATAACAACTAACAATAACCCAACTGTTTCAGTTGAATATCAGCCATTTGACGTAAGAGAGCTGGCAGGCACCCCTGTCAGATGCACATTGTCAAAACACTTGCTGTCTCAATACACTCAAGTCCTAACTGCTTAAATATAAACAGATCTACTAGCACATGAAATAGTGAATAATATAGTTTTTGTATATGTCTCATATCATTTTCATGTACATTTTCAACTGCTCATTTGCTGACAGGTAAGACCCATGTAACATGAATTGCAGAGAAAATGTTAACATCATATTTTTGAAAGTCTATTTTTACAAATAATCATTTTGTAAGAATTATTTTTATCCTTTGTGTGTCCAGCAAGACTACTATGGAGACATCCAGGCTTTCAATAACCTGCCTGGCACCGATGTGTGTCCAGCAAGACTACTATGGAGACATCCAGACCTCCACTAACTTGCCTGCCATATGTGTGTGTCCAGCAAGACTACTATGGAGACATCCAGACCTCCACTAACTTGCCTGTCATATGTGTGTGTCCAGCAAGACTACTATGGAGACATCCAGACGTCCACTAACTTGCCTGCCATATGTGTGTGTCCAGCAAGACTACTATGGAGACATCCAGACCTCCACTAACTTGCCTGCCATATGTGTGTGTCCAGCAAGACTACTATGGAGACATCCAGACCTCCACTAACTTGCCTGCCATATCTGTGTGTCCAGCAAGACTACTATGGAGACATCCATACCTCCACTAACTTGCCTGCTATATGTGTGTGTCCAGCAAGACTACTATGGAGACTCCAGACCTCCAGTAACTTGCCTGCTATATGTGTGTGTCCAGCAAGACTACTATGGAGACATCCAGACCTCCACTAACTTGCCTGTCATCTGTGTGTGTCCAGCAAGACTACTATGGAGACTCCGGACCTCCAGGAACTGGCCTGTCATCTGTGTGTGTCCAGCAAGACTACTATGGAGACTCCAGACCTCCAGTAACTTGCCTGCCATATGTGTGTGTCCAGCAAGACTACTATGGAGACATCCAGACCTCAACTAACTTGCCTGCCATATGTGTGTGTCCAGCAAGACTACTATGGAGACTCCAGACCTCCACTTACTTGCCTGCCATATGTGTGTGTCCAGCAAGACTACTATGGAGACATCCAGACCTCCACTAACTTGCCTGCCATATGTGTGTGTCCAGCAAGACTACTATGGAGACTCCAGACCTCCACTAACTTGCCTGCCATATGTGTGTGTCCAGCAAGACTACTATGGAGACTCCAGACCTCCACTAACTGGCCTGTCATCTGTGTGTGTCCAGCAAGACTACTATGGAGACTCCAGACCTCCAGTAACTTGCCTGCCATATGTGTGTGTCCAGCAAGACTACTATGGAGACATCCAGACCTCCACTAACTTGCCTGCCATATGTGTGTGTCCAGCAAGACTACTATGGAGACTCCAGACCTCCAGTAACTTGCCTGCCATATGTGTGTGTCCAGCAAGACTACTATGGAGACATCCAGACCTCCACTTACTTGCCTGCTATATGTGTGTGTCCAGCAAGACTACTATGGAGACTCCAGACCTCCAGTAACTTGCCTGCCATATGTGTGTGTCCAGCAAGACTACTATGGAGACATCCAGACCTCCAGTAACTTGCCTGCCATATCTGTGTGTCCAGCAAGACTACTATGGAGACATCCAGACCTCCACTAACTTGCCTGCCATATGTGTGTGTCCAGCAAGACTACTATGGAGACTCCAGACCTCCAGTAACTTGCCTGCTATATGTGTGTGTCCAGCAAGACTACTATGGAGACATCCAGACCTCCACTAACTTGCCTGTCATCTGTGTGTGTCCAGCAAGACTACTATGGAGACATCCAGACCTCCACTAACTTGCCTGCTATATGTGTGTGTCCAGCAAGACTACTATGGAGACTCCAGACCTCCAATAACTGGCCTGTCATCTGTGTGTGTCCAGCAAGACTACTATGGAGACATCCAGACCTCCACTAACTTGCCTGCTATATGTGTGTGTCCAGCAAGACTACTATGGAGACATCCAGACCTCCACTAACTTGCCTGTCATCTGTGTGTGTCCAGCAAGACTACTATGGAGACTCCAGACCTCCAGTAACTTGCCTGCCATATGTGTGTGTCCAGCAAGACTACTATGGAGACATCCAGACCTCCACTAACTTGCCTGCCATATGTGTGTGTCCAGCAAGACTACTATGGAGACATCCAGACCTCCACTAACTTGCCTGCCATATGTGTGTGTCCAGCAAGACTACTATGGAGACTCCAGACCTCCAGTAACTTGCCTGCCATATGTGTGTGTCCAGCAAGACTACTATGGAGACATCCAGACCTCCACTAACTTGCCTGCCATATGTGTGTGTCCAGCAAGACTACTATGGAGACTCCAGACCTCCAGTAACATGCCTGCCATATGTGTGTGTCCAGCAAGACTACTATGGAGACATCCAGACCTCCACTAACTTGCCTGCCATATGTGTGTGTCCAGCAAGACTACTATGGAGACTCCAGACCTCCAATAACTGGCCTGTAATCTGTGTGTGTCCAGCATGACTACTATGCAGACTCCAGACCTTCACTTACCGGCCTGACACCATGTGTGTCCAGCAAGACTATGATAGAGCCATCCTGAATTCTGGCAGTATTTATGAAAGTGGTTTACAGGATGTAAGAAATATAAACAATTCAGCAGCAGTAAAATGTTTCCTGTTTATAGACATTAAGTGACAAGGCACAGGTTAAATAAATATATACTTGAGACTGTGTGATGTTTTTTAAGAAGTCACTGTCTTAGGTCACTTATGATTCAAATTCAATTCCTAAGTCTTTTTGACAAACCAACATTTGGAAGGATTTGAATATAGAACTCGAACTCTCACAGTTCTTACAATAGTTTGAGATAGTTGCTGGTTTATTACTGATTTATGGCCTTATCTTCTGCAACACAGAACATGTTCAATGGAATGCACATACCGTACAATGGTTAAGAAAGCTTATCAGTTGTAAACAAGTATGTTTCAGTGTTAATCATCATTGTGGATCAATTCACTTGCTTGGTGTATGAAAAAGCATTTAAAATCCAGGCACATTCTTCTTTTTCTTGGTTGGTGTAGGGCTATCTGAATCTTCTCTTGCTCTGAAGAGGACTTTGTTGGTGTCATGCACTGGTCTGGGAGCATGAGGATTTGTCTGTCTAACTGAGGCGAGATGGGAAGATGAGGTGCTAGGGCTAAACATCACCAGACTTTGTTGTATTTCTTGGGAGAAAAATTCATCATCATCATTATCACCATAATCAGTATTATCTATGTTACAAGTAACATGGGTTGTGGCAGTGGGAGTAGATGGCCCCGTATCCTGGGCCGCTGGACAGAATCTGGAGGGGGTGCAAGAGAAGCCAGGAAGAGAGGTTACATGAGAGAGCTGAGAGCTACTGCTTCTGTCATTGACAGATTGTGGAGATGTGCCTGTCTGTGGGAGTGTTGACATCAGAGGAGTCTGACCGTTAGGTCCCAGATGTCCCTCACGGCCAACCACTGGCTGTCCTTTCAGCCTTGACTCACCAATATGTGTTCCTACCTGGGATATTTTCACATTTTCCATGCTAGTCTCAATATCCAAGTTCTCACTACTCTCCGTTTCAATCTCTGAGGCCATTTCTGACAATCCATACAAATCGTCAAGCCCATCATACTCCTCGCTTCGTATTTTCGGCTGATTAGTTGACAGAATTTGATCCACAAGGCTTGTTTCCATCTTCTTAGTTCTCAAGGAAATTTGTATGGCGGCTCTCATTTCTCGTTGCTTTTTTTCCAGTGCTTGTCTTTCTTGCTCCTGTAATGTGCAGACAATCCTTGTAACAGATACACTATTTGTAAAGATACCTCTGTCATGTGTAATAGCTCTTGTCATGTGTAATACCTCTTGCCATGTGTAATAACTCTTGTTATGTGTAATACCTCTTGTCATGTGTAATACTTCTTGTCACATGTAATACCTCTTACCATGTGAAATACCTCTGTCATGTGTAATAGTTCTTGTTATGTGTAATACCTGTCATGTGTAATAGCTCTTGTTATGTGTAATACCTCTGCCATGTGTAATAGCTCTTGTTATGTGTAATACCTCTGCCATGTGTAATAGCTCTTGTTATGTGTAATACCTCTGTCATGTGTAATAGCTCTTGTTATGTGTAAAACCTCTGTCATGTGTAATGCCTCTTACAATGTGTAATACCTCTTGTCATGTGTAATACCTCTTACCATGTGAAATACCTCTGTCATGTGTAATGCCTCTTACAATGTGTAATACCTCTTACCATGTGTAATACCTCTTACCATGTGTAATACCTCTTGCAACGTGTAATACCTCTTGTACTGTGTAATACTTCTTGTCATCTCTAATATAATCAATTCAGCAGCAGTAAAATGCCTCTTACAATGTGTAATACCTCTTACCATGTGTAATACCTCTTACCATGTGTAATACCTCTTGCAACGTGTAATACCTCTTGTACTGTGTAATACTTCTTGTCATCTCTAATATAATCAATTCAGCAGCAGTAAAATGTTTCCTGTTTATAGACATTAAGTGACAAGGCACAGGTTAAAAAAATATATACTTGAGACTGTGTGATGTTTTCAAGAAGTCACTGTCTTAGGTCACTTATGATTCAAATTCAATTCCTAAGTCTGTTTGACAAACCAACATTTGGAAGGATTTGAATATACTCTCACAGTTCTTACAATAGTTTGAGATAGTTGCTGGCTTATTACTGATTTATGGCCTTATCTTCTGCAACACAGAACATGTTCAATGGAATGCCTCTTACAATGTGTAATACCTCTTACCATGTGAAATACCTCTGTCATGTGTAATGCCTCTTACAATGTGTAATACCTCTTGTACTGTGTAATAATTCTTGTCATGTGTAATACCTCTTGTCATGTGTAATACCTCTTACCATGTGTAATACCTCTTACAATGTGTAATACCTCTTGTCACGTGTAATACCTCTTGCAACATGTAATACCTCTTACAATGTGTAATACCTCTGTCATGTGTAATACCTCTTACAATGTGTAATACCTCTTGCCATGTGTAATACCTCTTGTCATGTGCAATACCTCTTGTCACATGTAATACCTCTTGTCATGTGCAATACCTCTTGTCACATGTAATACCTCTTGCAACATGTAATACCTCTTACCACATGTGTATTACCTCTTCCAACATGTAATACCTCTTATCAAGTGTAATACCTCTTACCATGTGTAATACCTCTTGTCATGTGTAATACCTCTATGTGTAATACCTCTTGTCATGTGTAATACCTCTATGTGTAATACCTCTTGTCATGTGTAATACCTCTTGTCATGTGCAATACCTCTTGTCATGTGTAATACCTCTTGCAATGTGTAATACCTCTTACCATGTGTAATACCTCTTACCATGTGAAATACCTCTTGCAACGTGTAATACCCCTTACCATGTGTAATACCTCTTCAACGTGTAATACCTCTTGCCATGTGTAATACCTCTTACCATGTGAAATACCTCTTGCAACGTGTAATACCTCTTACCATGTGAAATACCTCTTACCATGTGTAATACCTCTTCAACCTGTAATACCTCTTGCCATGTGTAATACCTCTTACCATGTGTAATACCTCTTACCATGTGAAATACCTCTTCCAATGTGTAATACCTCTTGCAATGTGTAATACCTCTTGCCATGTGTAATACCTCTTACCATGTGAAATACCTCTTGCAATGTGTAATACCTCTTGCAATGTGTAATACCTCTTGCAATGTGTAATACCTCTTGCAATGTGTAATACCTCTTACCATGTGTAATACCTCTTACCATGTGAAATACCTCTTGCAATGTGTAATACCTCTTACCATGTGTAATACCTCCTACCATGTGAAATACCTCTTGCAACATGTAATACCTCTTGTCATGTGTAATACCTCTATCTATTTGTAATACCTCTTGCCATGTCTAATACCTCTTGCCATGTGTAATACCTCTGTCATGTGTAATACCTCTATCTATGTGCAATACCTCTGTCATGTGAAATACCTCTTGCCATGTGTAATACCTCTTGCCATGTGTAATACCTCTTACCATGTGAAATACCTCTGGCAATGTGTAATACCTCTTACCATGTGTAATACCTCTTACCATCTGAAATACTTCTTGCAACGTGTAATACCTCTTACCATGTGAAATACCTCTTACCATGTGTAATACCTCTTCAACGTGTAATACCTCTTGCCATGTGTAATACCTCTTACCATCTGTAATACCTCTTACCATGTGAAATACCTCTTGCAATGTGTAATACCTCTTACCATGTGTTATACTTCTTACCATGTGAAATACCTCTTGCAACATGTAATACCTCTTGTCATGTGTAATACCTCTATCTATGTGTAATACCTCTTGCCATGTCTAATACCTCTGTCATGTGTAATACCTCTTGTCATGTGTAATACCTCTATGTGTAATACCTCTTGTCATGTGTAATACCTCTATGTGTAATACCTCTTGTCATGTGTAATACCTCTATGTGTAACACCTCTTTTAATGTGTAATACCTCTTGTCATGTGTAATACGTCTTGTCATGTGCAATACCTCTTGTCATGTGTAATACCTCTATGTGTAATACCTCTTGTCATGTGTAATACCTCTATGTGTAATACCTCTTTTAATGTGTAATACCTCTTTTAATGTGTAATACCTCTTGTCATGTGCAATACCTCTTGTCACATGTAATACCTCTTGTCATGTGCAATACCTCTTGTCACATGTAATACCTCTTGCAACATGTAATACCTCTTACCACATGTGTATTACCTCTTCCAAGATGTAATACCTCTTATCAAGTGTAATACCTCTTACCATGTGTAATACCTCTTGTCATGTGTAATACCTCTATGTGTAATACCTCTTGTCATGTGTAATACCTCTATGTGTAATACCTCTTTTAATGTGTAATACCTCTTGTCATGTGCAATACCTCTTGTCATGTGTAATACCTCTTACCATGTGAAATACCTCTTGCAACGTGTAATACCTCTTACCATGTGTAATACCTCTTCAACGTGTAATACCTCTTGCCATGTGTAATACCTCTTACCATGTGAAATACCTCTTGCAACGTGTAATACCTCTTACCATGTGAAATACCTCTTGCAATGTGTAATACCTCTTCAACGTGTAATACCTCTTGCCATGTGTAATACCTCTTACCATGTGTAATACCTCTTACCATGTGAAATACCTCTTACCATGTGTAATACCTCTGTCATGTGTAATACCTCTTGTCATGTGTAATACCTCTATCTATGTGTAATACCTCTTGCCATGTGTAATACCTCTGTCATGTGTAATACCTCTTGTCATGTGTAATACCTCTATGTGTAATACCTATTGTCATGTGTAATACCTCTATGTGTAATACCTCTTGTCATGTGTAATACCTCTATGTGTAATACCTCTTTTAATGTGTAATACCTCTTGTCATGTGTAATACGTCTTGTCATGTGCAATACCTCTTGTCATGTGTAATACCTCTATGTGTAATACCTCTTTTAATGTGTAATAGCTCTTGTGATGTGTAATACGTCTTGTCATGTGCAATACCTCTTGCAACGTGTAATACCTCTTACCATGTGAAATACCTCTTGCAATGTGTAATACCTCTTACCATGTGTAATACCTCTTACCATGTGAAATACCTCTTGCAACGTGTAATACCTCTTACCATGTGAAATACCTCTTACCATGTGTAATACCTCTTCAACGTGTAATACCTCTTGCCATGTGTAATACCTCTTACCATGTGTAATACCTCTTACCATGTGAAATACCTCTTGCAATGTGTAATACCTCTTACCATGTGTAATACCTCCTACCATGTGAAATACCTCTTGCAACATGTAATACCTCTTGTCATGTGTAATAGCTCTATCTATGTGTATTACCTCTTGCCATGTGTAATACCTCTGTCATGTGTAATACCTCTCAGCACATGTAATACCTCTTGCAACATGTAATACCTCTTGCAATGTGTAATACCTCTATCTATGTGTAATACCTCTTGTCATGTGTAATACCTCTATCTATGTGTAATACCTCTTGCCATGTGTAATACCTCTGTCATGTGTAATACCTCTTGTCATGTGTAATACCTCTATGTGTAATACCTCTTGACATGTGTAATACCTCTATGTGTAATACCTCTTGTCATGTGTAATACCTCTATGTGTAATACCTCTTTTAATGTGTAATACCTCTTGTCATGTGTAATACCTCTATCTATGTGTAATACCTCTATCTATGTGTAATACCTCTTGCCATGTCTCATACCTCTTGCCATGTGTAATACCTCTGTCATGTGTAAAACCTCTATCTATGTGCAATACCTCTGTCATGTGAAATACCTCTTGTAACGTGTAATACCTCTATCTATGCGTAATACCTCTCAGCACATGTAATACCTTTTGTCATGTGTAATACCTCTATCTATGCGTAATACCTCTGTCATGTGTAATACCTCTTATCATGTGTAATACCTCTTGCAAGTGTAAAACCTCTTACCATGCGTAATACCTCTTACCATGTTAAATACCTCTGTCATGTGTAATACCTCTTGCAAGTGTAATACCTCTTACCATGTGTAATACCTCTTACCATGTTAAATACCTCTGTCATGTGTAATACCTCGTATCATGTGTAATACCTCTTGCAATGTGTAATACCTCTTGCAATGTGTAATACCTCTTGTCATGTGTAAAACCTCTTACCATGTGAAATACCTCTTGTAACGTGTAATACCTCTATCTATGCGTAATACCTCTCAGCACATGTAATACCTGTTGTCATGTGTAATACCTCTGTCATGTGTTATTCCTCTTAGCACATGTAATACCTCTTGTCATGTGTAATACCTCTGTCATGTGTAATTCCTCTTGCCATATCATGTGTTTGTTATTTACTTACACGCCTCTGGACACATTCGTCTATGCCTTCTTGTCCCTGCCACATCTTCAGGAGGAGCTGTGTGTTGCTGCTGGCTTGTGGCATTTGCTCTAACTGAGGAACACTGGCATTGAAGACATCCTCTTTAACATTGTCTTCCTGTAACAGATCACTCTGAAATTGTACAAAGTTTATATTATGACATGAAATTGTCCAAAAAGATCTCTATTCATCAATGTATCAATATCAGTATCTGATATAATGCTGCCAGTGAAGGGCCAGTAACACTGCAGCACCAGTCTGGCCAGGTGACATTCTTCAGCTGAAGGGCCAGTTACAATGCAGCAGCAGTCTGGCTAGGTGACACGCTTCAGCTGCAGGGCCAGTAACACTACAGCAGCAGTCTGGCTAAGTGACACGCTACTTGAAGGGCCAGTTACAATGCAGCAGCAGTCTGGATAGGTCACATGCTTGAGCTGAAGGGCCAGTAACACTACAACAGCAGCCTGGCTTAGTGACATGCTTGAGCTGAAGGGCCAGTAACACTACAGCAGCAGTCTGGCTAAGTGACACGCTTCACCTGAAGGGCCAGTTACACTACAGCAGCATCAGTTGAAGCAGTTGAAGCATGTCACTTAGCCAGACTGCCGCTGTAGTGTTACTGGCCCTAGCTGAAGGGCCAGTAACATGACAGCAGCAGTCTGGGTCTGGCTAAGTGACACGCTTCAGCTGAAGGGTCAGTAACACTACAGCAGCAGTCTGGCTAGGTGACATGCTTCAGCTGAAGGGCCAGTTACACTACAGCAGCAGTCTGGCCAGGTGACACGCTTCAGCTGAAGGGCCAGTAACACTACAGCAGCAGTCTTGCTAAGTGACACGCTTCAGGTGAAGGGTCAGTAACACTACAGCAGCAGTCTGGCTAGGTGACCCGCTTCAGCTGAAGGGCCAGTAACACTACAGCAGCAGTCTGGCTAAGTGACACGCTTCAACTGAAGGGCCAGTAACACTACAGCAGCAGTCTGGCTAGGTGACACGCTTCAGCTGCAGGGCCAGTAACACTACAGCAGCAGTCTGGCTAAGTGACACGCTTCAGCTGCAGGGCCAGTAACACTACAGAAGCAGTCTGGCTACGTGACACGCTTCAGCTGAAGGGCCAGTAACACTACAGCAGCAGTCTGGCGAGGTGGCACACTTCAGCTGCAGGGCCAGTAACACTACAGAAGTAGTCTGGCTAAGTGACACGCTTCAGCTGAAGGGCCAGTAACACTACAGCAGCAGTCTGGCTAAGTGACACGCTTCAGCTGCAGGGCCAGTAACACTACAGCAGGAGTCTAGCTGGGTGACATGTTTCAACTGAAGGGATAGTGACACTACAGCAGCAGTCTGGCTAGGAGACCAGTTCAGCTTAATGCATCTGAATCCCAAGGATCGGTGGAGGGAATACCTTCAGAAGTGATCGTCAATAAAAATCAATCAGTGAAATCGAAGTCTGGCATCAAGCGACCATTCCTGTTGACAGGGAGGGAGGAAATTAGGTATGTGTGAAATCCAGTATCACTACAGTCATAGAAGACAAATGACATTAATCACATTAAAATCTAAAACTGACATACCGAGCCTGATGCTTGTAGCATGTACCCTTCTAGTCAGAGGTGACACGCACCGGCGAGGTCGCAAGGGCGGGATATGTGGAGGTGTCACTGGCGCGTAGTAGCAGTGATCTTTTGGACCACCACTAAAGGGCCAAAGCTGTGTATGGCTTCCACATCTTCTGACATGACATCTCGCAGAAAGGGACTGCTGAAGATGTTGTCTGAACACTAGAAACAGCCTTCCATAATGGTGCATTTGGAGCAGATGCTGTCGAGCGCCATGGTGGCAGTGACTGCCTGGATTTGGTGTGGGTTGCTGTCACTTGGAGGATCCAGTCCCGTGGCCTCGTATGCCTGGAGGATGATTGCTTGAATCCAGAAGGTGATGGTGTTGCGGCTGTCTTACAGCTGCAATGTCGTTAATACTGGTATGAAGTGAGTGAGTTTGGTTTAGCGTCACTTTTAGCAACATTCTAGCAATATCACAGCAGGGGACACCAGAAATGGGCTTCACACACTGTACCCATGTCGGGAATAGAACCCAGGTGTTTGGCGATCAATATGAAGAGATGGCGTTGTCTACACTGATCTTTGGAGCAACAAATGAAACACCGCAGAGCTCTCATAGGACACAGTAGAAGTTCCTGCTTGTCTTTAGCTCCCACTATCGAGGAGAGGGGTGGGATGAGGAAAGATCTGTTGGGCTGTCATGGGAGCTGGTTCTTGGAAATAAAGTCTGAGCACAGTCCAAGGTGAACCCCTCCTTGCACTCCTTGCTCAAACCTGACACCCGTAACATCTAGTGAGCATATCTCGCTTACACATGTCACTGTAGTGAGAGCCAGGAGGAAGATCGTCTTCTAAGCCAGGTTGTAGAACGACATCTAGTGGTTCAAAGGGCACTCCTCTCAGTAGGGTGAGGACTAAACTTTATCTTCAAGTCAGAAGGAGTGAAGTAAGGTTTGGAATTCTGGGATGTTTGTCTTCTGGGACTGCCAAAACAGAATTGAGGGCTACAAGGTACGTCGTGATAGTCCTTTCCTTCAGACGATGCTTGTGATGCAGGAAAAGGAGGAACTCCGCCAGAATTTGAGAAGGTGCAGGGATGGGGTCCTGGTGATTTTCCTTACTAAAGCCTTCAAAGGAGCAACTTGTCATCGTATAGACTTCTGGTAGACGGTCGATGTGCAAATGTGATAGCTCTCGTCACCCTAGCCGAGTAGCCCTTGGCACTTAAGGATCTTTGTAGATGGACCAGACGTGCAGTTGTAACCTTTCTGGTCCAGGGTGTGGTCGTTTGGTGTGTGGGTGAATCAGTAAATTCGGCAAGTCTGGCAGCTGAAGAGGGTTGGTGGCAGCTATCTCCCGGACATCGATGAACCAAACCCTCGCTGGCCACAAGAGTGCGACCAAAGTCAGATCTTAGGAATGACCCTGGGAAGGAGTACTGAAGCCGGAAAAGCATACACATTTAGTCCCACTAAGGGGACGCTGAAGGCATCAACTGCCCAAGCCTGAGGGTCCAGTACCTGTGATATAACGGTCGGGATCTGGTAGTTCTGGCTGGTGGCAAATAGATTTTGTTATATTGGGATGGCCAAGGCACAGACAAACAAGAGCAAAGTCGTCCGGTTGGAGCTTCCACTCTTAGGGAGCGACTCTGTCTGGCCTGGAGAGGGTGTCTGTCAGGATACATGTGACAACCCGAGATGTGTTGGACCTGGAACTGGAGTTCAAGTTGATCAACCAGGTTGAAGAAGCAGAAAGTTTGTTGTAGGAGTGAGTGGGAAAGGGTCGTTCCCTGATTCCAGAGGCTCCAGATGACAGTGATGTGCGGCGGACCACAGCCCATGGCTTGACCCTCCAGGTGTGCTCCCCATCCTTGAAGAGAGGCATAGACAAATTAGTGTAGTGAGGCCATAAGCTAGATTCCGCTATCCACCACCTGAGATGAAGCGAGTTCCGCCTGGGTTGATAGTTGCCCGACCTGGATGAAGGCGGAGTATGACACGTGAGCCAGGGCCTTGAGGGTGGTTTTATCTCTGGCGAAGGCTGTGACCCAAGCATGGGTCCTTGAAACGTGCAGTTTAAAGAGGGAAGGAGACGACCAGGATTGACGGAGGAGGTCCATCTAAAATTCCGGGTCCCAGTCTGAGAGTGCCAAATAGCTGAGGACGCGAGTGGTCTGAATTTCCACATATGAGTGTGCATGTGTTCAACTTGGCGCTGTGAGTAGGTCAAGGCTGTGGTAAGATGGTCTAGTTGATTGGGGTTGTCCTTCGATAGGTCCTGGATTATAGCCCTGGAGGCCGAGACCCAGAGAGGCTTGAGGGGGCATCTGAACTCAGTTTCCACAAACGTAAGCTTGTTGTCAGGGATGCGTATAGTGCTGGAGCGATTCAAGCCCGTCATACAATGGATATGTGGGCGCGATCTGCAATGTCAAAGGAATGGACAGGGGAATCTTCCTTCTTGTACTTGGGTGACTTGAACGAGGGTGTTAGGGACAGCTTGGCAAGGTCCTCATCAAGAGCGGCGATCATGTTCTTAAACATGGGGTCAGACCATATCGTGTCTTTCGGTCCGCAACTGACCCTGGGGAAGGAGCCACAGCCTCCAACCAGTCAGCCAAGGTGAGAGGACACCTATCCACCTGGAATCCACTAGAGCGCTGAACTGTAGTGCGGCTCCAAGAACGGCATCTAGAACGCGACAACTTGCTCCCAACTTGTACGTGTGTGTGTTTGTGTGGCTGCTTGTACTAGTCCAGACTGATGCCGATTTATAGTGCTAGCTCACAGAGATATCATGCCATAGTTTAACATGAATACCCCACTCAGACACAGTATACTGACTCCGAAAAGACCAGTCCTTGTTTTAGCCCCTTAGTGCTGAGTGCCAGTCAGGGTAACAACAAGTACCACCTTTTAACGTCTTTTGATATGACGCGGCCGGGGATCGAACCCCGGACCTTCCGCTCTCCGGGCGGACGTTCTACCACAAGACCACAGAGACGGTCGGGCAGGTTAAAAAAACACTAACAGACAATAAATAATTATGATATGGCGTAAATCATATGAAATATATGAAAACACAAACTGTAGACACTATATAGCTCACAAGGAAAATCACTAGAGTTATCAATACAGAAAGGATTCAATGAAACACATAGAGAGTTCAACACATAGGTCTTCCTTCTGTGAGTTGACAGCAATAAAGTACTGATCTGTAACATCATCACTTTACTTTAAGAAATGAAGATGTTGATTTCAATTCCCACTTTTATACAGACCACTGCCACTGTCATGTGACCTTGATTACATGTAAAGTCACCTTCTTCACATCACTGCCTGTCGCCCGAGCTTAAAAAACATACTTTTGAGGTTTCTGTAGCCAAAGTGGGGAGGCAAGTCTGCGACGGGTGGGTCCTTAAACATAGTAATGCAGGATAAGTACACAAATGTGAAAAATATTTAGATTTTACTAAATTGTTTACTTATCCTGCATCACTCCTTAATGCCTCCGTATTGGACAGTTTAGAGGTGGGTAAACCTTCAGAAATACAGAAACCTCAATAATTCA